TGTGTTAATTGAGGGGGTTTTCCTGATGTGAGTTTGATTGATTTTAAATTGAGGGGTTTTTCCTGATGTGAGTTGTGTGTTAATTGAGGGGTTTTCCTGATGTGAGTTGTGTGTTTTGGCGTGTTTTTGGGTATACTGCTGCCGCTACATGTTCCCTCAGCAGCGAGACTAGCAGCATGGCCGTGATGGCGGCGGCTTTCCAGGTGGCAGGTGTTGGATCTGGCATCGTGACGGGAACGGCAATTGGGAGGGAGAGTGGCATTGGAGGTACGTCTTGCAGCCGCAGCCTGGGAGATTCCCTGATGCTCACCGCTGGGGTTTATCGCCCCTGCAGGAGCGCGAAAGCAGCCGTGATGAAACAGTGTGACTGTCATCCAGTCCTTCTGAACGGTTTTGATGGTCTTCGCTCATCTGGGCCGTCGTCGCTGCCTCGTTTTGGTAATGAATCATCTTCCAGTTTTGCCTCCATAGCCGGTGCGCAGATCAATTCAAGGAGGTGTAGGTCTGCTGCCGCTACTGCCCTTCCCCGCCCTGGAGAGGCTCGTGCCTCCACCTACAAAGTCTCTGTACTCGGTGCTGCTGGCGGAATTGGTCAACCCCTCTCTCTGTTGCTCAAGATGTCTCCCCTTATTTCCGATCTCCGTCTGCACGATATTGCCAATGTGAAGGGCGTCACGGCCGATCTGTCCCACTGTAACACCCCTGCCCAGGTGTCTGGGTTTATGGGCCCAGAGGAACTGGCAGAGGCCGTGAGGGATGCTGATCTTGTGGTCATTCCGGCGGGCGTGCCGCGGAAGCCGGGTATGACCCGGGACGACCTGTTCAATGTCAATGCCGGGATTGTCCAGTCGCTTGTGGAAGCCGTAGCCAAGCATGCACCCAAGGCTCTGATCAACGTCATCTGTAATCCGGTCAATTCCACGGTGCCGATTGCTGCAGAGGTGTTGAAGAAGCAGGGTGTGTACGACCCTGCGAGGCTGTTTGGTGTGACGACACTTGATGTGGTTCGATCGAACACGTTTGTTGCGGAGGCTAAGGGTCTGCGATTGATAGATGTTGACGTTCCCGTAGTGGGCGGTCACGCAGGGGGCACAATTCTTCCTCTCCTGTCGAAGACCAAGCCACGAGTTGAGTTCACTGCTGAGGAGATCGAGTCGCTGACAAAGCGCATTCAGGAAGCAGGGACGGAGGTTGTCCAAGCCAAGGCTGGTACCGGGTCTGCCACTCTTTCGATGGCTTATGCTGCTGCAAGATTTGCTGAATCTTGTTTGCGAGGCCTGGATGGCGACACAGACGTGTACGAGTGTAGTTATGTGCAGTGTGACGTCACTGAGCTTCCGTTCTTTGCCACCAGGGTGAAATTGGGAAGGAAGGGAGTTGAGGCGGTTGTTCCCATCGAAGGGATTTCCGAGTATGAGCAGAGGGCACTAGAGGCAATGAAGCCAGAGTTGAAGGCGAGTATTGAGAAAGGGGCTGCCTTTGTTAACAAGGAACCTGTGACGGCTTCAGCATCTTAGGAGGAGGAGGAGAAGGAAGGCGAATGGAGACAGTTTGGGTCGTCTTTCAGAACAGGTGAACTCGATCCGATGGCTTAATGTTGGTAATAAAGACCCAGAGGGTGGATCTAACCGCTTGGCAAGGTATCGTTTTCAGCGGAAGCGTAGATTGGTCAGCACAGTGCTATTTGGCCATGTGGCTACTTGGCTATTTTACAATAATAAGGACAAATAGTTTGTGCAAGGTTACCTTTGGGGCTGGGGAGTCCAGTTGCTGGGACGAGACACCTCTGAACGAGGGGTTCCGTGGTTGAGAGGGCGGCGATCTCAGCTGAAATGAAGTATGGGCCAGGTCGAACTGTTCTCTCCAGAATGAGGTTTCACAGCTGTTTGCTGTTTTGCGACTTAGTGCAAATTGTACTAGGAGTTATAAGAGTAGCATATGCGCGTATGCACGAGTGCATGTGTGTAAATGCGAACCGCGGGGGGTGGGGAGAGAGAGAGAGAGAGAGTCATATGGAGGAGGCCCAAAGAATAGTGATTGTGGGTCTTATGGCCCACATGGCCTTCTGAAGTTGATATGATTCAGTATGTGGGATGGTTGATTTTTACTTGTTGGTGGGATTTGTTTGATCTGTAGGACGTGGGTGTAGAATGTAGCGAGCAGCAACTTCCATTGTGACATGTGTGCTCGGGCAAGGAACAGAGAATTGGCGAGCACCAGCTTGTATTGTGATTCAGCTGCCATGGCAGCTCGTGAGGTGGGACTGGGACGATGGAAATTTGAATTGAGTTCTGACAAACACATTGTTTGTCTCAGGCTTTAGAAAGGCAGTTGGAGATTGAAAGATGGACAATAAAGTGATGATACATGTATGGATGGGGAGAAGTGGGTATTCGAAAGAAATGCCTGAGATGTGTAGTGCACCGACATGTGTGTTTTATTTTCAGCCGGTGCTGTACGGCCGGACACATCTCCATCTGGTGTGTACACGTTCTCTTTGAAGTTCGAATTCAATGCGCTATTCTCTATTTTCTCTAGATACATTGCTGGTCGTTCCTTGGATGAGATTCAGAAGTTATGGTACTGTGGCCTGCTAGGAAGGCAATTTCTGTTTTTGTAACATCTGCTCTTTTCAATATGGCGGCCTGAAGCACGGTATCGGTCTTCAATGCGGCATCTGGAAGCAGGGTATCTGTTTCCATTGAGGCCTCTTCAAGCAGGGTCTCGGTTTTTAACGAGGCTTCTTGAAGCAGGGTATTGATGGCCTGCTGACACAGGCTAGCAGGATATGGATGGCCTGGTATGGCCTGCTTAACCAGGGTATAGATGGGCTGCTTAATCAGGGTATTGATGGCCTGCTACACCAGGGTATCAATGGCCTTCTGACAGAGGGTTGCAGGGTATTCCTGACCTGCTGAAGGAGGGTATTGCTGGCCTGCTGACAAAGGGTATTGATGGCCTGCATAGCCAGGGTAAAGATGGTCTGCTGAAGAAGGTTATGGTAATGTTCAGGGATGAAAGTGATTCAGACATGTACAGAGAAGATGTGTGAAGTGGGCGGGATGTGCCGACATTTGCACAGGGAACAGGTCTGAAGAGTGAGGGGTGTCTGCAGCTGGGCTTTTGATTGATTGTTAGCCCGTGAAAAGCTGCATTAAAGATACAGATCTGAGGGATGCGTTTTTTTTTTCACCGTCCATCAAAAAAAGAAATGCACGGAGATCATGTTTGGACTCACATGTGGTCGTGTGTTCATTGCAACTCACACAATGGACAGATGTTATGGGTGTGCCTCGTACTCCACCATCTATGTGCTGATCTCGGCTGCATTTTGAATGCTCGATTACACGTTCAGTGTCAAATGCATTGGTATCCCATCCTCGCAAGCAGATTGCTTTTAAGTTCAGTTGTGCTGGGGTGCTGTGGTGTTATGCGGATGCGCGTCTGTTTGTGGTTGCTCCTGCATTAGATGCTGAATTTTGTAAATTATGGCTGTGATGATGGATTAGGTGCAGTCAGTCAGTGCAGTGGAATGAAGCCCATAACATCTGCCGGTTTTTATGATTGCTTGGTGTGATTGCAGTGAAGAGGGTGTACACAGGGACCACAGGGGGGGTGGAGTGAGAAGTAAGCAATAGAACTCACACGACAATAGGCCAAAATGTTTACGGCCAATCAAGAATAGACGAAGATGAAGGGAAGAGAAGAGAAGAAGAAGAGGAGTAGGTAGAAGATGGAAGATACGCAAATTCCCCCGAGCGTGTCAGCTCGTATAATATTACGAAAAGCTGACCAAACAAAGGTGCTGAACGCCAAAGGCGGAGCACCGCGACATAAAGTGCTGCTGGCGATTACCCTACAGCTATTTCGGCCGGTCCGCCAGTGTACCGGCCATCGTCAGGGGTGCACAGAGTTGGTGTAAGTATATGGTGTAAAGCTGAAGGGGCAGGTGACATGTGTGTATATGGCTTGGACAGCTCAGAGGGATCAGCTGTTGATATGTTGGGCCTCTCTCTGCACCTCAGTGCGAGGCACGATTGGTCCAGTGTGGCGTAGCTGGTGTGCCGGATATTGGGTATAGTATACTGTATTCGGCATATGGATATCTCAGAAGAATTGGCCGTCGATAAGTGTAGGGCCACTCTCAGCAGCTCAATGCAAGGCTCACACTCCGCAGGGAGCTTGTTTGATGTACCGGTCTATGTCAATGTCATCACGGCAGCGAAAAATTGTACTGAAAGCCCTTTCGCACATGTTCTTATGCAAGAGTACTAGGACTTTTCACTTCTGTCGATCCTCCAGTCCATGTGAACGGTACTAGTGTTGCGTTACAGGTAAGTGTGCATGTGTGCACCCTGCTTTTCTGTAGCTGCATGTAACTTAAGACTCTGTATAATTGGCTGCCGGTGCCCTCCCCTTTCCATAGTCTATTTGTTGTCATTATTAATGCGGATTCTGCTTGCCTTGAACTGCCTGTTACCTTTCACCAGCGAACTCAAAACACCGAAATGGATAGCTGCTGATTCTTCGGGCGAACAGTGGTACCGGACCGAAAAGGCTGGCGGAGCCAGCCAAATGGGAAAAGAAGTCGCGAGCCCCGGACCAGAAAGGCAGGGAAGATGGCCTTTCGGCTAAGATCAAGTGTAGTATCTGTTCTGATCTTTTTTCTATTTTTTAGAAAAAAAAAAAGCAGGGAAGATGTGCTGGCAAAGCTTCGCATGCAGCTCTTTTCTGTCTCTTCATAAAGAGGCTTGGTGGTAGTGGTCGTTTGAGGATCCGTGTTGATGCCAGCCACCTGGCAGATGTTAATTGACTTTAGGCGTGGAGAAGCGGATTTTAAGTGGTGGTGCGGACTATACAGGCGCAGGTATGCGTGCACAGTGGAGATGGAACACTTGTGCTGTGCTTGAATTTTTTTTCCTTCCCCTTTCGCCCAACAACACACATGCCCCTTGTACATGCAAAAGGGGGGCAGCAAGACTTTTTGCCATCCTGTTAGTGGGGGTGATATGAGCATCCCCCACTCGCAGGTCCAGTCCTGACCGCCCCAATCTATTGGGGGAGGGCAGCACCTGCTGGGAAGTGGGTTCAGCGTCCCATATACACTTCGATTCTCATTGACCAGCAGGGCCATTACCTGGCTTGGTCGAAGAATAGAAAAGTAGAAAAAGACCTGAGTATCGGCTGGATGACCAGCCCTCTTCAGCCCCTCCAGGCCGCCAAACAGGCAGAATTCTTTTGGGTTGTCCCATCCGCTGTCGTACTGGATCGTTTGCGCTGTTTGGTGTGTGGCGGCTAGCTCTCTCTTGGCTGACATCTGTTGAAGCTGACTACTGTCCACCTCCGCACCACTGCAGGGCCACCAATGACAGATGATGTGTGGGAAGAGGTCTTGGGAAGTTTGAAGGTGGTCGCAGCGAGATTATTGCGTCCACCGATGTCCAATCCGTGAAGAATGATCTGTTATTTCGCTTGGTTTCGTCTCTTTGTCTCGGCCGCGCCCCTCCCACCAGATTTCGGCGGATTTTGGCTATCCAAACCTCTTGTGTGATCTGCAGCCGTTCCTCCAAGAACTGTTGTATCGCCTGCATTACGTCTTTTTCTTTTCATGGTAAAGATTAAAAGATCTAGTTTTGCGTTTACCTTCATCCATTGGTCTGTGATGTCCAGTTGGATTTGCTGCTCGATGATGTCCGCCATTTCTTCAACATATTTTCTTCAAAGGTGCTGTCTTGCAGGGGAGGGGGTTAGACCCCTCACACAGCAGTGCCTCCCAATCCAATGGCCAGATGGACTCGGTGTACTGCTGGTGCCAGATGTGGGTCCCACCTGCACCATGTGAGGATTGCTCCTGGACACTGCAAGATAATATGCTCATTCGTTTCTGAGCTTTTACGGGTCCGCTGTGCAACAATGTTTTTCCTATTCAAGAATTGCCACACTCTTATGCTGTGGCCACATGAGTTGAGTTCTCCACCCTTAATCAGCTTCCGTATGCAGCCCCATGCCTCCATAAATTATCCGCTCTAATTACCGAGTCCTCTAATTCCCACGTCTCTTCTTTGCTGGGATGTTTTTTAGTAGTACTGAGTACTAATTTCCCTTTGTTTCACTTTGGTCCTGTCAACACCCATTCTTCTCAACTATTCCTCAGTTATACTGACCATGGTGGTACGGAATCAAAATGTCATCGTGCTCATGTATCGGGGCACGTGGCGCCCCTTCCTTTTACATTGTTCATATCACCCATTACTGTTGTCGTCCTCAGTTACGACTGACAGCAGCGCTTCAGCATGCATTCCGAGCTTCTTTTTTTTGTTGTTGTTGAAAAGCCAGGATGACATCACTAGGGGGGGTGATACGAGCACCCTCTCCCCTAGTGTGTGTTCTGGATGCTCCATTCTATTGCTGGGGAGCTGCACCTGCTGGAAAACGGGTCCAGGGTCCCATTAAAACAATTTGAGGAGGTATATGAGAAGAATCTGAGATTAATTTTCAAAATCGTCTGATTCGTCTCCTCCTCTTGACGTCGACCTGCCCAAACTTTCTCTTGCAAAACCTCCCTGTTATCCCATGTTCCCCATCCCCCATTGTAATGGGTAGTACATTCCCTATCGACGGTGAGCAGTGTCCCTACGATTCTACTCCCCTCGATCTTTCGTGCACCTACATGTCCTACACATGTCCTATACCCTCAACCAAATGAATACACTGTGTGTCACAGTGGCCCCTTCTCCAAATTATCCACTAGCTGACTGCATCTTGCTTCCTTGTGTGAGCGATGCAGATTTTTGTCATTCCCCTCGTTATTGTAGTTTACCACTAGCTGACTGCATCTTGCTTCCGACGGAAAACGAACCCTGATGGCAAACCAGAGCAGGGAATAACATCCACAGATTCTACACTGTAGAGAACAGGGAGCTTTCCCAGACTGGGGAGCCTAGGATGGATGTGCTTGAGCTGAAATTCGGCTGCAGTTTGCTTGTTTAAGTGCTGCGTTCACTGCTGCGCGCAGAAAACTGCGATTGGTGGTCGCACGGTCTCTCTCCTCCCCTCGCAATTGCGCACCTGGTCACCCAGATTCCCCACCAGGTGGCAGTCCTCGCTGTCTCCTTTGCACACAGACTGCATCTTGTCTCACCTGTGAGCGGTCTGAGCAGAATTCCCTGTTGCGTCAACTTTTCCTGTGTAAGCGGAATTCACTGTGCCATCGCTTGATCCCACCATTTCCCCAAAAACGGATTGTGCGTTCACATGCACAAAAAGAGGGGGGGAATTGTTTCGTCTGCTTGTCCGCACGCCCAACACTTCGCATCCTGATACTGTGATTTTGTTGCCTTCCACCGTGCACTGGCCACTGCCACATGGATAGTCATTTGCAGACGACCAGCCTGTTTCTGATCTGTGATCTGGCAACATGTTGTTCAATTGCACAGAGAGTCGCATTGTCGCCAGGAATCCCAGGATGCATTCCCCTATCACCGGGAAGGTACCGAAGGTTTTCTGCTCCATCTTCCTTTGAGCTCATCATTGAATCAGATATGGCGTGGTTTGACAAGCTGTGTACAATGTCTTCGTTGTAGCCCAGAAAAGTGAGATCTGGTTGCGGTAGAGCTAAGTCGGCGGGAAGTGAGAGGTTGTCAGGTTTGTTGCCAACCTATCACTTCCTGCATTTGATCGAAGTCCTGTACGGGCTGTAGGCTGCACGTCCGGCTCTGACTTCCTTCTCCACAGCAACTACTACCGTCTTCGCCCGAATAAAGCGTACGGTCATTCGGCCTGTGTATTTGGCACAACTTTTCAGTCCAGATGCAGCGAGAATGACAGTACGTTCTATTCGGGTGAAGATGGTAGTAGCGTGGACACTGGGCCCGCTTTAAAGCACGTGTTGGGAGAACTACAACCCAGACATACGACCCTCAGGTACAGGGGCCATGGGACGACTGTAGCGCTGAAGGGGACACCTGGTCACAGCTTTCAGTCTGAGAACAGCCAGCGGGCTGTCGTATATGGTAGTCGAGTTCAGTGCGGCGAGACCTGAGTAACTTGAACTCTGTTTCTGTGGGACGCTGAGCCCAGTTCCCAGCACGTGCTGCTCGCCACGAACAAGATTGGAGCCATCAACCCAGGGAGAGCCCTACTACAGGCATGGGCTCTCATCCCTGCCGGCAATTGGAGTTTCCCCATCTGAATGCTCTTTTACTCTTCTAGTGGCGGCCATTACCAGTCGTGTCATTGCAGGACTGTGGGCGTATCCTGCGGCGACAGCCGGCCAGCAGTCCACTTTTCTTTCTCTTTTTTCACCTTTATGATCTGTCGAACTTTGCAATTGTCAGCAT